CATCGAGAGGAGTCAGCTGAGGTGGCTTGGGCATTTACATCGCATGCCCACCGGACGCCTCCCTCGGGAGGTGCTCGGGTGCCGTCCCTCTGGGAAGAGACCTAGGGGAAGACCTAGGACACGCTGGAGCGACTACGTCGCTCGGCTGGCCTGGGAACGCCTTGGGGTCCCCCCAGAATTGCTGGAGGAAGTGTCGAGGGAGAGGGAAGTCTGGGTGTCCCTGCTCAGACTGTTGCCCCCGCGACCCGGCCCCGGATAAGTGGTTGAAGATGGATGGATGGATGGATGGATGGTGTTTGCATTTATGTTTGAGATGTGTATATTTATGAATAAGTATGTTTTTTTATACTCATATTTGTCTGTTCATTTCCTCTGTGTTTTTTGTGTGAAGTTTGTTACAAATAAAGCCGTAAATTACTGAATAGAAGAGCAGTCGAGACAAATTCTCATTTATGTCACTGGGTTCTTGTTCCTCAGTGTCTCCAGGGCCGATGCCTCAGCAGTACGCCCACTCCAGCGCTGCCTTGCACCCTCACCCACAACACCCACAGCCGTCTGCCACGCCTACAGGTCAAGCTCAGCAGGGTGGTCCCCCACAACACGGCGGTCCTCCCAGTCATCCAGCTGCTAGTCCGGTACAGCACCCACAGGCAGCAGCAGGTCAGTGTCCGTGTCTTCAGATGCGCCGGACTGTAGGTGGAGACACTGGCGTTTTTACTTCTTTTAGCTACTGTATGTGAACCACAAGCTGTTGCAGTCATGTGTTGTGTTATTGTGTGTATCTGTGTGTGTGTTGTAGCAGTGGCAGCCCAGGCTCTCCACTTGGCCAATCAGACTTCACAGCAGCAGATGTACTCAGCTCTGGCCCACACGCCCCCCTCCATGACCCCAGGGCCCAACTCTCAGTCTCCACAGGCATCTTTCCCCTCTGCCCAGCAGACTGTTTACATCCACCCGCAACAGGTGCAGCACGGCTACAACCCCAACCACATGGCTCACGTGCAGCAGGTAGTTCAAAAAGATCCACAGAAACTCTCATTAATGAATCATGTAGGTGCAATGGGTCAAGTGCTGCTTAGGAGCACTTGGTGTTATTAACCAGTCTCAAATCAATAACAAAAATCACTCTCATTAATGTTATTATGTTATCCTACTAATATAGTAATAATATATTACTTGAAGTATTACGAATATACTACAATCAATAGTATTCACTAACAATTAAATAGCTGAAGGATTTTCTGGAGTTCTTGGCAAATTGGGTGGCTTCAATTAATAAAGTAACAACACAGACAAACAGGTTATAAAAATAATCAAATTTATTAACACAACCCTATCACGTTTATGATAGTAGTTGAGAGACAAACTAAACAAGGCACAATATTGTGTCTGTGTGGGCGCGCGTGCGTGCGTGCGTGCGTTGCTAGGTAGCTAAGAGTGCCTCTTAGCTACCAAGCAAACAACTGAGCTAGTGATGTGTCGAGTGATTCGTTCAGTGCAGTTCACTTAAGTTTGACTGCACTGATAGTATCTATCTATCTATCTATCTATCTATCTATCTATCTATCTATCTATCTATCTATCTATCTATCTATCTATCTATCTATCTATCTATCTATCTATCTTCCATCTAATATCCAATATCCGCTTATCCATTACCGGGTCGCGGGGGCGGCAGTCGCCACCCAAATCACATTGCACCGTACCAACCCCCCTAAACCTTCCTGCGGGTGGTGAGCCCACTGGAAGGTACCAACCGCCCTAACCGGGATTCGAATTTGCCCAGGTGAACCCTGGGGTTCCACACCAATGACAGAGACATTGCCTCTGGGCCAAAGCGCCACTGCACTGATATTACATGTGAAAAAATTATAAAATCCAAATAAACAGCAGTTCCCCGAGATACAAACATCTGACTTACGAATATGAATATGAAAGCCGGGTATTCTACGATATGAAAAATCGCTGTCTGATGTCCATAAATGTTTGTAAAATGCTTTATTGCATTCGCAAGTTCGTATATACGACTGGTTCCCCTTTCTGCCGCAACCCACGCCGAGCAGCACCGCTCCATACACACATCTCCAACACTCATCTCGACAGTTCGTTCCTGCACGTGTCTCTGTGAGCATCTCAGCACGTTAGGCTTCGTATACCCTTGGATACTTTACCGTTTTTGTACAAGTTAGTACTTATCAAGTCTCGCGACAATCTCTCCGATGACAACTGCCTCTCACCAACAATAACTCCTCCCTCCTCCTCCTCTTCCTCCTCCACTGTCTATGTATGCACATCGACTTCGCTCTAAATGACTTACGAACAATTCAGCTTACAAACAGCCTCTCGGAACCCTATGTGTTCGGTACTGGATGGTACTGAAACAAATGTACAGGAAATGTGACCATGCTTTTCATCATCATTGGGCAAAGATGGTTGATCGTGGTTACAACTGAAGAAATCTGTTGAAGAAGCCTCATCTTTGGTGTTTCATTTAGTTGGAAAGCCTTTCTAAGTTAGTTGAAAAATAGGTAAAAAAAATACATAATTTTTTTTCTATATAAAAATCACCTGAGTTGAGTTACGACATGTCTACCTTCTCCACTAACTGCGTACAAGAAATGAATAAATCTGATTTCTCCGTGGATTGGGAGTCTCTTTGTTGAGCTGTACAGTCATAATACTTCTGTCTGTTTTTATGTATATACCCCATGTACATACATGCGGGGACATTTTGCCCTTGTGTAACGGTAAAAGAGTTCCCTATTGAGTGGGAGGCTAGTTTGAGGGTCAAAGATTTCATTTATTTATTTTTGGTTTTGGATTTAGAATGGGATAAGGGCCAGATTAGAGTAAGGATTAAGATTAGGTGTATAGTTAATGCACTTAAAAGCCTTAGATTTCCTCAAAAATCGACAGTGCGCCTTATAACCCGGTGTCCCTTATGTAGTAATTCTGGTTGCGCTTACTGACCTCGAACCAATTTTATAAAGTCAAACCACACAGCACATCACACATGATGGCACACAACTGAAGCACAATGGGAGCCAACAATGACGTTTAACTCTGTTATCACAATTAGAAGATGCTCAACAACAATTATTACAGTATAGTTGTGAAACCAAAATCCGTGCAACGTCGCGTCGTGGTTTTTCATATGACTTCAATATGAACAAGATTTGTTCATATTGAACTCACGAATTACTCACAAATCACTCTCTGCGATTCGTGGTCAAAAACTTTATTTCTCCTTTTTTATCGATACAGCGATGAACAAATCACTCTCTGCGAACAAATCATGCAAAACAACAGCCGCACTTCCGCACGGAACAGCGTCAAAACAACAATACGGTGACCATCCAGAACAAAAATAGTGACAACCGCCTGACTCTGGAGGGGCGAACAACAACAACAGCGCCCTCCTGTGTCCAACTTAGGTCACTACCCTTTTCCACAAATCTCTGTCCCTGTTGATCTGCGAGTCCATGAGTCAAAACCCAAGTGAAGCAAACTAATTCGGGGCTGGCCATCAATCCGGGTGGATTGACCAAAGAATTCCAACCACTAAATATTGGTGTTAACAGGGCGTTTAAAGTTAAATTGCGAGCTGCGTGGTAGCATCGGATGACAGAAGGCAAACACACATTCACCAAGACAGGGATGCAACGCCGGGCGAATTACGCCACTATCTGCCAATGGATCGTGGATGTCTGGGCTAAGGTGAGAGTATGACACCGAGTATGAAGGTTAGAAAAGCAGATAGCGCATGCAACAGCCTAGCTATAAAAGCAGCACAGATTTCAGACAACACAATTCAATAACACTGTGTTTTTATGTGAACAATTAAACTGTCCTTAAGTTTAAAGATAAAGCTAACGTGCCCAAATGCCAGCCTTACTTTAGTGAATGTCTGCTTGTATTTAGAGGGTAGTGGAAAGTACGCACCACTTCTTGTGTCCTTGCCAGAGTTGGGGACGTCCGTCTGGTTCCACTGTGTGCAGAGAGACCTCTTGGTCCGCTTTGGGAGGAAAAGTCTCTGATTGTCGATGTGCTGGTTCACACAATTACTTTTAGAAGGAATCCTGTCGCTTCTAAACTTTTCAATAACTGCTTTGTTCTCAGCGCTACGTTACTTGTGTAACTTAATTATCGGTTAACTCAGTTAAGAAAAAGACACTACTAGTGCATTTATTACCGTGGGCAATGGTGTCTACAAAAGCGCGTTGGTTCTTCTTCCTCTGAGATGAGCAGGTTTCTCTTTTCATCAGGAGTCCCACGCAGGTCCTGAACAGAGAGACTGACATTGGGGCTGACCCCCCAATTTTAAAGACTGCGGAGGTCACTGATTGTGACGTATGTTGGTTTCCCGGAAGCAGTGGAATTATGGGAGTTAGAGTCCTTAACCGGACTGTGGTTGTACCTACAATCACTTCCTATACGAGAGGTTTTTTTGTGCATGTGAGGAAATCTGGGAACATTTCCAGCAGGTGGTCTCAGAGTGACCTTGGAAATTAGAAGCTAAAAAAGACATATTTGTCTCTCCCCCTCTCCCTCTCTGTTTCCTCACCCCACTCCTAGGCCCATATGCAGTCTGGCATCATTCCATCCCACCACCCAGCACCCACCCACCCTCCCATGATGCTGATGACCACTCAGGGTCATCCTGGGGTTCCACAGCCGCCCATGCCTCAGACGGCCCTCAACCCCATCCCTGTTTCTTCTACCACACATTTCTCCTACCTGGCACATTCACAAGGTACGGTATGAATATTTTCTACTTCAGAAATGCACAAATACAGAAACAGTTGCTTTTGACCTGAAGCTGAGAAATGAAGAGACCTTCATCAAAGAGATGGTCTGACCATACCTAAGACAACTGATTCTGAGTCTGTTTCCTGTGAAGAATGCATCCTTAAGTTTGACTGCACTGGTATTACATGTGAAAAAATGATAAAATCCGAATAAACAGCAGTTCCCCGAGATACAAACATCTGACTTACGAACATTCGTAGATATGAAAAACTGCTGTTTGATGTCCATAAATGTTTGTAAAATGCCGTATTACGTTCGCAAGTTCGTATATCCGACTGGTTCCCCTTTCTGCCGCAACCCACACTGAGCAGCATCGCTCCATACACACATCTCCAACATTCATCTCGACAGTTCGTTCCTGCACGTTAGGCTTCGTATACCCATGGATACTTTACCGTTTTCGTACAAGTTAACCTTACTTATCATGTCTCCAAAGAAATTTGCGGCGACGATCTCTCTGATGACAACTCTGCCTCTCACCAACAATAACTCCTCCCTCCTCCTCCTCCTCCACCGTCTATGTATGCACATCGACTTCGCTCTAAATGACTTACGAACAATTCAGCTTACAAACAGCCTCTCGGAACCCTTTGTGTTCATAAGTTGGCCACTGTCTGTACAGACAAATAAATGTACCTGCGTCTTAAAGCTCTACAGAGATGAACCATATTAAGTCAAAGCAGGGCAGAACCTCCTTCTATTGTCTACCTGATCGCAGCATGACTACAGTCTGTCATTATGTCTGTAACTTTGTGTCTGTAGGATGTCGTTCATCATCCAGATCACACCGTTGTCTCTGAATAAGTCTCAAATCCACCTTCTCCCCCACTTGTCTTGTTTCTGCAGTGCAGCCTCATCATCAGCAGCAACTGTAGATAGAGGACACCAGTGAGCTGAGGGACCCCCGCTCTGCATAACGCTTCTCAAACAAAGAGTTTTCATCAGTAGGCAATGAAGAGTATGAAAGTCCTTCCTCTCCCCTCTGTGCTCATCCTCACCAAGACAGGCTTCAAAACAGCTTCTCTCTCTCTCTCTCTCACACACACACACACACACAAACATACACTTCCAGGGGTACATACTACAAACGCGAGTGAGCTTTGCCAAGTATCTAAATGAGATTGAGGGTAACCAATCAGTAAGAACGGAGAAGAAAAATTAACAGAACTTGTATTTGTCTGCACCTTGTTCTGGAGAAAAGAGAACAAAAAGCAAATCTTCCAACTTGACAACACGGGTATTAATCCTACGGTTTACTGCTGCTGCTTTGTGCTGCATTTGAGTCCACCACAGGTTTCTAACCAAACTAAAACAAATGACACGGAAGAGGCGTTGGCAGCCAAAAGACGGGGAGAAACCTTATTTACGAAACTCTAACAGCTGAGGTGATCAGATCCCATTTCTCACCTGACCCTTATGTAACTTTTAAGTTAAAACTTTTACTTTGTAGATATTATAAATTATTTAACAAAATGAGCAAAAAAATTTAAAAACAATAAAGTTTTAAAAACTGAACGCCTGGTTGTTGTATTTCATTGTTTTTTTTTTTCAACACAAACAGAAAATTATATATTTTTGTACACATCTCTGTTTACCGTATTTTTTGGACCATAGGGCGCACCGCATTATGAGGTGCACTATCAATGAACGGGAATATTTTCATATATAAGGCACATTAAGCGAAACGAAACAGTCAGCGAAACAATTAAGTGGAACAATCAAGCATTCCCGATGCCTCTCGTCATTATCTGATTCAGTACCGTTGCTGTTAATTAGTTGTTCAGTAATGATTCGACATTTGAGACTGATACCTTAGTAAATAACAGTCATTACGTCAGTCAAAACAGTATTTCAAAGAAAGTGGCTGCAGTGGTCTGTCTTTTTTGCGTAACTGTAAATGTGAGGTTAAATAGTTTTTTTTTAAAACAGCGTTTTCCCCAATATTTAAAATGTACATTAAATTTTCCATATGTTGGCTGTTAATTTATATGGCCCACATGGTACACAGGTCACTCAGTGCTTTTTCAGTCTTTGATCTACCATCAGTCCATTGGTTAATCGTTCATGTCAAGGAATTCCCAAAGAACACACAGAGTTTGTTTGTGTTTTTTTGGTTATGCTTATTACAAAAAAGTCAGATATGCAGTTGATATATCTGATATATCTTGATATATATATATATATATATATATAT